ACATCGGTATATAGGGTATGTTAATAATCCAGGACTCAAAAAAGGGCTCCTGCACTGATCGAAGACGGACACGTTACAACATTGACTCCGCATACGACTGTGTGAGATGATGAGAGGCCTTAACACCCCGCACTCCCTACACAAAGAAAGGCTGGCCATCTCTCTGAATATCTATAATTTGGGGTGTAATTTTTATTGTGTTTATTTATTTCTACAATCTTCTGACAGCACCATGGTAACAGATTCTGAGTTGGCTTGATTGAGTGACGACTGTGTTTGAGGGAGAGCCAGACTTCCAAAAGTGCGAATCGTTTGCATGCCAGCTCGAACAGTGATCATTGAATTGGTGCAGAATAGAAGCAATTTTACAAAATCGAATTTCTAGAAATATAAATTTTGGCTTCGTGGTGAAATGGTGGAAGTACTTGTAAAAGTAGGCCTCAAATTCAGCCTTGCACCACGTACTGCGCATTTCCCACCACTCAGTTAATCCTAATTTATATTGTCTGACCCGAATTGTGGATTGTAACTCTATCTTCTCACTGCAAAGGAGAATTAACAGTTTTTTATTTGTTGACTGGAAAAAAATAATTCCGAGAAGCTTTATTCCTTTTTAATATCCTGAGTTTCCTAATCCGACCTGATGTGTCTTGTTTATCTCTTAACATAATCATGTTCCTCTACATCAGTTGTTCTAATTATGCATGAAGAAGAAATGCATCCCGGAGTGAGCACCTAGTGACGGATGTGACCTACCTCCCAATTGTCATGTGTGTGAAAATTTCATGAACTGGAGAATGCTTTGAAAAGAAAGAATTCAGGCGTTAGAGAAATTTGTCAATTCATTTTTGCACATGATCAAAATTATGAAAACATTTGTTTTGGCCAGCCCGGACATACCAACATGAAAACATGACAGCTGTTGCATGCAACATTCCTTCTAGATGTTGTGTGACAGTCAGTGTTATAGATATGAAATGGAAAACCAACATGACTTTTTTCATGTCATTCAGATTCGTTTTTCATTCAAGACATCTTCCATCATCATGTTAAAAAATTGATCATGTTATACCTCAACTATTCATGCATAGAAAAAGTCAAGATTTTCTTATTTAATTTTTGTTAATAAAGTAATCTCTTTAATCAAATTGTGTGATACTATTATATATTGTATTATGCAAGACAACATGAATACAAATTTTTTAACGATGATAGCAAGTATCTTACTCAATGAAATCAATATGTGTCAATAATATTAAATCATTCATACCTGCATGATTTTGTCGCGGTTTGTGTTAATGATGAGTGTCTACTGATATATACAAAACAAATTTTGTTTGATACAAAACCAAACTCAATTTTGATAACCAATTTACAAAACCAAAAAAAAAAAATTTTGTTCTTTTGTCTGGTAAAATGAGAATGAATGAGTGAAAGTATGCAAAAAAAATTTTTCAATAAAGCTTAAAAGGTATTGTTATGACATTGATTATCACAAACATTAGGCACAATCTTGAGTTAAAAAAAGAAGTATTCTGCTGAATAATCATGAAAAAGTAGACACTTTGAATGCTCTTAGAATCAAGTCAATGATTTGTATTGAATTTTTATTTTACAAGATCATAGAAAATAAATGCGTTGATTGATAAAAAATTAAAAATGAATTAATAAAATATCAATAATGGTTAATCACATGATTAAAATTCAATGAAAGTCTAATCCTATTTTATTAGACTCATAGTGAAATGATTTTTTATCTAATAATTGAAAGCAACACAAGATGAAGGCTATGAAGATGAACAATGCTTGGTTTGATATTATCAATTACAATTTTTATATATATCATATATAATTCTTATGGATAATATTTTTGAAAAATTATAGATGCCAAAGACTAAATTGATTTGAAAAAATGAATGAAATGATATATAAATAACTATTATAAATAATTAGTTTTATATTATGAAACAATGAATAAGTATATAAATTTTGATATTTTTTCAATGAATTTCAACAAAATAATAATTAAAAAATTAGTCCAATTTATTCACACATTTTTAAACCTTACAAAATTCAAGATGAAGTACAATTGAATGAAGATGCAAAAATACATTGATGTTTCAGTAATTTTGCAAAATTTTGATGAAAAGATTGATAACTAAAAATAATTTCACACTTGATCTCTGCTGTACCATCTTTTTATTATGTGTGTTATCTCATTGTACTTAAAACATGACAAGTGTTAATTTCTTGTGATTTTTAGTATAACTTAAAAGTAAAGATTAATTTTTATTGACTTAAATCTAGCTAGGATATTTTTAAAATTTCTTGCTGCAACTCTATATGAAGCAGAGACATGAATCTTGGTGAACATTGTTTAGAATACAGTAAAAGTTTTTGATTCTATGGATGTAACTTGACAATGATGAATCACTTATACTGATTGCATGCTTTTACATTTTGGATTTCATGAATTTTTTGATTATTAGTACAACAATTGATATAAGAGTATGACAATTCAAAATTTTGGATTGCAAACTTAATGTCCACATAGATCAAAGCTTAAAATTGCATTTTGATACATTTTGCGTGTTTTGCGTTATTGAGAAGTTGGTTGTTGTAGTTGGCTGTTATCATCACAAAGGTGTGATTGATCAGATTGAAACTAGAGCAGATTTTTATGATGGCAAAATCTAGAATTTTAATTTGCACCAGTGTTTTTGTGATATTGCTTCTGCTGGCGCTAGTCAAATGAATTCTGGTCAAATCAACATTTGCTTGCTCTTGTGGTTTAGATTTATTGGGAGCCAACAAGTCTGAATCACAAAAGCAAGCAAATGAAAAAAAAAACCTTTTTCAAATATGAAGTTTCAAATATTTTCTTCAAAATTGAACAATTCATCTTGAGTTCAAGCAATGATGAGCAAAATGTTTTGTATTGTATGCAAATAAAATTATAGGAGGATTTTGAAAGCAACATTATAACTTCTTTGTTTTTTTGTCAACGATGCTTCAAAATCAGATACATGCATTAAGGACTTTTCAAAAATTGAAGTTTTGTGAAATGATAATATCAAGATGGAGTATGATGAGTATAACAAGAGTAAACAGAAACATCTTGAATTTTGATAGTTTTCCTTGATACTCATGCCATAAAGTAAGTTATAATAGTTGACATAGGCAAAAATATGATTTCGTTTGTCATCATATGCTATGTCCGCCAACTACGACAACAACAACGGCTTCATTGTCATGACGTTTTTTTTTTGTTTGCGAACATCAATATTTTTTAGTATCACAACAAACTTTGTTGTGGTCAAAAACAATAATAACAAGAAGCTATGAGTACTACAACAGATTTTTGAAACTTGAAATGTTGTTAGACTTGAAATAAAGCTCTTAAAATTTTGATGTGAGAGCTGCAATTTTTAGCTTAGAAATTTTGTTTGGTATTTTGCAAATGAATAAATTTGTGGTGCTGAAGTTTATGCAAATGGGCAAAATTTGCCGTAGATAGTGGATTTGTCGGCAATTTTATCATATTTTGATTCTTGATGTTGGAAGTTTTATGATTGATTTGAAATATTGAAAAAATCTGTAAATTTTTGGAAAAACTCAAACAAATACAATAATTTAAAATTTAAAATTTATTTGTATAACTTATATAATACCTATATATGATGAAAATATATATGCTAAACCAAATTTTTTAAAGATAAATTATATCTATTCAAGATCTACATTTTTTGGCGTTTATCAGAAAAGAATTCTAATTAATATATGTTTTATAAAATATAACTCTAGTTACAATTACAAAACATTCATTTTTTCCTCTCTAAAATCTAACTTTTTGAGAATAGTGCAGAAAATATTTTCAATCAAACCGTGAGTTTTATGATTAAATAAACTGAAATAAACTTGAATTTCTACTAAAAATAAATTAAATTTTTTTTAAAAAATGATATTGAAATTGTCATGTGAATGAAATGAATTTGGCCAATCTTGTTGACATTCGTTATTGATAGCGGATTGAAGTAGATAACCAAATTTTTGAACTACCGCATCTGAAAGGTTGAGAAAAAAAGTCCAAGTGTCAACCTTAATGATACATTACTGAGATATATTTCCTACAATATGTTTCATATGTTGGAAGATGAATTTGTAAACTCTTGTTTGTATATGACTGACTAACAGAATTCTCTATTTTGGTGTAGTGTTTTGTTCCTATTGTAGCTTAGTTTTTATGTGCTAATTTCTCATACTTTAAATGCTGATTCTTTGGATGAATCAATGCAAAGCCGCAAAAAGAAGGTGCAGTGGGGAATCTTTGGGGTTGAAACGAGGCAGAGAAATGTTAACACCTTGGCTCCGGAACCAAGAACCACAGTTGACAAAAGCTTTCCCGTGGCAGTTGAAGCCCTTGTAGTAAAATCTACTTGAGTGAAGATTGAGGTTGAGTCCAAAAGCAAAAATAATTCTCGTTTGTTTAGAGATAAACAAAGGAGAAATTGTCATTTTGGATTAAAATACGGCCGGCAGTGTGGAGGGCGGGGAAAATCGGCAGGAAACCAATAGGGAAAGAAAGGAAACTACCGTAAACCTTGAGGCCATGTTCGTGTGCTGCTGTAAACCGAGAGTGAGAACCTTGACACTGCCGAGAATAGGGTTGGAGGCACAGCCTCAAGGGGCATGCCCCTTGTTCGGGTTCTTCCATACAGGCATGCCTGTATGTACGAAGAAATGAATACGTATTTTCTGGAACTTTTCAACAACTTTACTTCTAAATATGTTTTATTCTTATAGATGTACATTTTTAAATACGTCAAATGTACATATTTCAATACGGGCATGCCTGGGGGCATGGGGCATGCCTTTTTGACCGTGAGATGGGGCATAGACATGCCTCAAAATATTTTGCTGTGCCTCCAACCCTAGCCGAGAAGCTGGCAAACTGTAATATTATCCTTGCGGCATTCCATGAGCGGGGAAATTTTGTTTACCCGAAAGTAAACAAGCCTGCAAGTTCAACAGCCGATATTCTGCACGTCTGATAAATCAATTCCTTATTTTGCCGGCTTCTTCGTAGAAAGTCCAACAGAGCAGTTCAAACCTGCCGGAAAATACTGCCAGCCCCCAAACAAACAACTCGACCTTTGTATTATTAAACGGTTCTTTTCCTTCCAGAAATTAGATCCTCTTAAGCACATCGGAAGAATGCAATTTACGAAATCATCTTTCTTCTCGCGCTCCTCCTTTCTTGCAATCAGGGAGAAAAAAGTAAAGTAAGAAAGAGTATGGGAAGATCCCATAAACTTTGTTAAAGAAATGAAACCAAATGGATAACAGCTGGTTAGGCTTCAATAGCACCTCGATAGTCAATATGTCCTTATTCAGCTAGTGTATCATACCTATCCAGGTTTAAATCCAAAAATCATACTTCCTGCATCACAGAGGGATATATGTCCTTATACATATAAAATATACTATTGAAATTCAGAGGTCTACATATAACATAGCACGTAAACACTCATACTGTTTGCAGTACCTACATTGAAAGAGATAAGTCTTTAGTGAACCTTTGGACTAACGTGTACTAAAATTTGAATGATACATTGATTCTGGCTTGAGAAATGAGAAGCAATACAAAGAGATGACATGACACGGGAAGTGAAGGTGATGGCAGAGCATAACAACTTAAAAAAGTTGCTGAAAATTTCATGCTTGGGGAGATATGCTCGAGCCGGCCTGTCCACCATCACAATCTGGACCTCACCTGTTCCCGTCCGCACGAACCTGATCCTTCCAGCCCAGCTTTTTAAAGTTTCTGTGTCAGCGGCCACTCTAGTGTGGATCGATCCGGAAAAACTTAGAGTGGACTGCGGGGACGGTTGTTTGTTTCTGGACTCCGGAGTATGATAAGAAAAGTGGTGGGGGAGGGGTTTTGGAACTTTTCTTGTTGGGCGACTTTGACTCGGCACCGAATTCTCCCCTACATGCTCTCCTCCGTCAGTCATCAGCTCCAAGACGAGGAATTATTGTTCCCAAAATATTACCGAGATTCTGAAACATTAGGAAAAAGTCCGCAGATTAGATCGAGAGAAATCATATTTTGACATCCGCACAATGACTGAAATGGATAGCCAGCCCAGGTTTCAAGGTGCGCTTTTCCACCTCACAAAAGATATCTTGTGTGTATTGATATCATCCTTCCTAGTGTAGCGGGGAGAGTCGACGTGGTCCGAGAGCTAATTCCACTTGAATCTACACATGTCGCCAACAGTGTGGTAAAGTTGAAACAAATTAGGTCGGTTCACCCTGAAAGCTTTGCGTGTTTTGAAGACATTGGTAAAAGCGTTGGAGCACAGTTGTTGGGGGCATCACGTCACAATGTGCGAACAACCCGCTACTGTCCTCGTATCCTTATAGTGCTTTCTCGTTTTCGGGTTGGCGAACGGCCACAACATTGGACGCTTCGCAGATGCGATGGCCCGTCCCTCCGTTTCAGTTAAGCCTCCCCATGCCACCACCACTGATTCTCATTTGCCGAAGTCCTAATCATATGTCACCTAAACTCCAGGCTTCCACCAAAGTCTCATTTCCATTCGCTGTCGGTTCCTTACGCTTCGGAATTATCTCCAGTACCTCGAATTAGACATGGTCTCATCGGCAACCCTCTCGACCACTTAGACGTTGCTACCTACATGGCAGAGCGAGGATGATTATGTAGCAAACTAAATTTGGCAGCGCTCGATTTGCTGTTTAGAGTTAATGCGTATCCAGTTCCTTCGTGTTAGGATAGTAGGTGAGCAAAGTATGTCTACACATTTCAACATGAGAGCAGATTTGCTGAAGGACTTGGAGTAAAGTTCGTGCTTTGGATGTGTCCTAGTTCGAAATCCGCACTTTTGTCTTTAGCGTAACATTCTCCGAACCGAAAACTTACATAACGGATATACGCTCTGTGGCCCGCTCCACCAAGTCCGTCCAGGATTTCGATACAATCTCGTCGATGGTTTCCATCCACTGTCCATCCGCGTACGAAAACTTGACTGTAATTTCTACGGAGGAAAGCAGCATGACTTGCTTTTCGCTAGATTTGAAAGTGGCATCTTATGGAAACGCCTCCCAGCCGGACTTTCACGGACGGAGGAGTTGACAGCGTTCATGCCTGATACCCGGGCCACACTTGTCTTGACTAGGAAGTATTGCAGTGATGGCGCTTTGTCTTATTGCGCGTATGCTCTGGTCTTTTTCCCTTAACCCCAGCTCATGTGCAACCGCCCTAACCGCAAAGGTTCTGAGATTTAGTTCCTTCCACCTCAGACGTTATCTGCATTGCAGCAGTGCTTATCGTCTACCGTCGTATCGCGGGGGGCCGGCCCCATATTCTTCACCGTCAATAGATGTGAATAGATGTACAGAGACGCCTTGTGAGATTTGACCACTAGTGCTCGGACCGATTCTCGGCCCATCGAGGGGATCACCATTTCTTTTAACTGTTAGCGTGACTGGCGATGATGCCTTACTTTCTTACTTCTCGTGTCCTACGACCCTGCGCAAGGTGGCCTTGCGCGTGTACCCTTTTCCCCCTTTCAAGGCAACACTTATTTTCGTTGTTTACAACTTTCCCTCGTCCTCTCTGCAACGGACTTGTCATCCGCCCGACGAGTCCTCGCGTCTTTCTCTGCGGTCAATAGTACGACGTGCTCGAACGGGTCATTACGAAGAATACACATGTTCTGTACTATACCGCCCATAATGATTACATATGCAAGACCCACTGACATCATTCACAGGCGATTATCATGTTGCTTCCAGCCGATTATAACTTGTAAAAAGTATTAGCAGTCGGCACACAGATGGTTGCAGGATGCTCATGCCTGCATGGGTGACGAAAACGTCCAATTTGTCCCCCGGATTTATTTTAATACCTCCCTCCGCTTTCACGCATTGACCAAAAAATGCGGCCCCTTCCACGCATGACAACAGCCCGAGGAGATTCTCACACGCTGGAAGAAGAGCCAGGTGGATGATGAGAGTAGATCTCGACAACGGTAACTTGCATTCGGGTAATTCGCGAAGCGGAACCTATCATCCACCGTCAAGAGATGGTAGCCACTACGTTGGGTCTAATGTCATAACGTCGACCGACGACTCCTTTGCCTCTGAAAATATATTATGAATTTCCCGGTAGCACCTTTCCTGTCAAAGATTCGCCCGGGAACAGTCGGTAATTTCCGGTGCCGCAACTCCATATCGAGCTGTCGTCCACACTTCCACACACGCTCAAAGTCGACGCACCGGAAGGGTCAACGAACACGCATCGTAACGTTCGGCAGAAATATACCTCCCCCATCCTCGCCCGGTATGGTCTAGCACATAAAATTAAGACCCCGGACCATTCTCTACGAGGACCAGACACTTGCAGCACTTTCCACCAGTTATTTGCAGCGCTCGCACGTCTGCCAGCGAACAATCGCCAGAACAGTTCGTTGGCTTTGGGGAAAAGAATCGACACGGACCCTAGAAATAAGTGACGATAATGATAATTTCATATCTAGGATTTACTCCTAAGGCCACTAAGATGCACGAGCGGTTGATAATGCAAGTGGATGGTGCGAGGGAGAACGACCTACGGAAAATTCCAGAGATGACGGGCACAGTGCTGAACAGAACTCGACCTAAAAAAGGAGCCAACTACTACGGAAGTCACGCACGTGGGGGAATGATACAACACAGTTTCGGCCAAGGAGTAGTGACATACTCACCATGACACAGAAGCATACACCGTACGAGCGGTGGTCCAACACATCCATCATGATCCATCAATTGAAATCCCACTAACTCAATCTTCACGACTGGCCATGGCCGGCATTCCGCATCTCTCGCTGAACCGTGTGAAAAGCCGTACCTTGGGACGAGGCGAGAAACAAATCGACATGCGATCTACGTACCAAAACAACTCCACTCAAACACAAGGCACACGAAGGCAGACTCCAAGATTTCATCAGAAAGTGAGTAAACATATTAAGCTGCTGTACAAGGCCCACCAAAAAATCGTGGATTACTGATAGGTACACATCACAACTTTCAATAATGTGTTTCAGGCTGCAGGATCACTGGAATGAAAAAAGAAAACTAGACTAAAATTCCCATCTCCTGCCGAGAAACATGAATGACATGACGATGAGCCCCAATGATTTGTTTCTCTTCAAAGCAAGGCACCTAATGGAAACGCATCTCTTGCTGGTTTGAACCGCTATCCTAAATAATTAGAAAGTACAGGAGTGAGTAATAAATCAGATCTTATCTATCTTATCGGCTTTCACTACAGGGTTGGCTTTGGCTATGGCATCGCGACCGGCCGTCTTATAATCAAACGAACAACTATGCTTGTCAGAGTACCGATGTAAAGAACAGAACGTATTTCCACAACGGCACTTGAAGCCAGTCAAACCCACGCGCTTCTTGCAAGAAAAGCAGCGGTTGGGAGCCTGCTGGCGCGGCGGCTCTTGCTCATCTGCGGCCGTCGACGACGACGTTCCTCCTCCACTCGATGGCTCACTGGCAGATGGAGCCACTGCGGCGAGGGTCTCTAGAGCCTGCCTGGCAGACTGGTCCGTTCTTTCGAGAGAAAAGTCGTTAGGCGCAGTCGTAAGAAAAGCTTTCTCGGCAGCAGCTTTCGCCGATGTCGCCTTTGCTTGCTTTAAAACAAGATCTCTATAGCACTTGGAACAAAGGTTCGAAGTAGTGGCGCTCCCAAAGAAACCACAGTTATTTGTACAAAGAACGGGCCCTTCCGGGGGCTGACATCCTGTCTCTTCCTTATCCCGCTTCCAGCTCTCCTGAGCCATTTAACGCGGGTGCAACCCCTAGACAAGAACGAAGATCTGCGGAATAGATTGGCTACGCGACGACCTGCCGAACTTGCCGAACTTGCCGACCTTTGCCCTGTAGCGAACCCGAAACAACTTATATCGACAACGGTAAACGTAAACAGGCGAAAAGAAGCAGGATCTGTCCCACGCAACTACTTTAGACAGACGGGACACACAACCAGATCCTCTCTCTGCGCGGCAAGAAGCCTCCCTTCGAAACACCAAAAACTAACAACTAATCATCAGTTTCCTCCTCCTCGGTTGCGCTCTCGATGATATGCAATTGCCTCCTCTGTAATCTTCTTCTTCTTCTTCAGAGCATCTGCAGAGACAGAGAACAGAAGAGGGAACAAGCGTTCGAAAAATTCCGCCGCAGCAATATGATACTTTTCTTACAACCCAGATGAGAAGCACTCGCCAGTCTGCCGATCGACGCCGCGAGAGGAAACGGTGAGGGAAGCACAGAAGGCAGAAGGTGGTCCTGGAAGGATACTACACGGCCTCTAAACCAGATATAGGACACCGGAGGTGGGAAAGAATGAGAAAAAAGAAGGCAAGGACGAGAAGAATATGATCTGATCAGTGCAGGCGCATCTCACACATCGGCGTAAAACTCTCGACTGCTCAAGCAAGCAGCAGGCAGGCTGCCACGGCCCCCGATGGCCAGGAATGGAGGAGGAAGCAAGTGGAGCAGCAGGAAAGAAATGCGGATGGATGGAGGTGCCAGGATCGCTGATCCGCAACACCAATATACGATTTTAGATCAACTCACTTCCCCCCCACCTCCTCCCACTTTCCTGTTCTCTCGCTCTTCTCCCTCCCTCCCCCTTCTCTTCTCCTCTTCTCCTCTCCGGCGCGTCTCTTTCACTCGCACACACAAACTCACACAAACCCACACAGGCTACCAACGACGACGTCGTGGAGCAACAGCCGGTGCGAGGGGCACAGGTTGTAGCAGCGGAATGGGGATGGGATGGGAGATGATGCAAGCAGCACCAACAAGTAGCAGCAGGAAAAGTAGCGGCCAAGGGAGCCAGGCGCGGGCATGGCACCTATAACGCGCTTCCTCCCCTCACCTCTCCCTTTCCCCACCTCACCCCCCGCCTTCCGCTCGTCTTTCCTCGCCCCGCTCCCCCGTTCCCTTCCTTTCCTTGGCTCCGTCGGCCGCTCTCCTTTGACCCACCCCTCGGGCAGCACCTGCCGGGCAGACACCCCGCGCGCTCTCTTCCTCCCTCTCGACGGTCACACCGATGAGTGACCGCGGGGCCGTGACAGACGGACGGCTCTGGCCCGACCGGGCCGGAACAGAAGCCGGACCTTCTGTAGACTCGCTGGGCCTGGGCGGGGCGAGGCTGCGCCTCGGGTTCGATCGGGGGGGAGACTGGGCGTCGGGGGGGGAGCCGATGCAGCGAAGGCGAGGCGCCCTTTCCTGCACCCGGGCACCCCGCCGACCCGGCCCGCGCTGCAGGTGAGACGGCTGGGGGAGAGGGGATTCGCGGCCGTGGGCTACCTCCGCCCACCTGCTCCTCCCGTCATCCCAGCCCGGCCCGCTCCGAACCGTCGACGGGAGGGCCCGCGCGTCCACCGGTGTTTCCGGCGGAAAACTCCGAACGAGAGGGCGCGCGCGAGGGTACATTAAGGTTTTGCGCCATCACGCGTGGTCTGCCGTTTCATTGCGGAAGGTGTCAGCGCCGGCGATGGCGAGCATGCCCATAGGCATGCTATCTATGGTTCGACATCGGTGGCGGCGCCAGGTGCCGATCCGTCAGTGCACCGCCCTCGTACCCCCTCGGGTGCAACTTTGCGTTTACAGCTTTGTTCATAGTACTGCGTCATTCACCGCGCGGTTCCCCACTTGCATGTGGATCGCGGCCAGTGCATCAGTGGACGCGAGGTGCTGCGATGGGCGGACCGGGCAGGCAGCAGCGGCACCTGCAGAATGGGTGTAAATGGAGCGAGGCGAGGCAGGCAGGGAGCGCCGTTGCCATGTCTCGAGTTGCACGTTGCGTCGCCGGCAAAGGCCCCATGTCCGATGTCCATGTCCACCCGCACCATGTCCATGTCACCCAGCCTTCCGGCATGCATGCGGCCAAGGAGCCAGAGTGGAGGTCGCACTATTTGCTTCCTTGCAATCGAAGAGTCCAGAGGCCCCAGACTTTTTCGCCCTTCCTCTGCCCTCCCATTGGCGACTCAAGTTCCTCCACCAGTTTCCATGCCCCACTTTTCTTCTTCCTCCTCTTCTTCTTCATCGACACACTGATCCTGACGACCGACCGACCCGACGACGACGACGTCGTCGTCCTTCCTTCGTCCTTAAAAATTCCGGTTGTCTGTCTGTCTTTCTGTCTGTCTTGCCGTCGGATAATAAGACAAGCCCGTGTCCCACCAGCCTCCCGGTGTCCGTGCCCTTCACCTATGACTCAACCCCCCGCGAGGCGAAAGGTGCTTCTTCCCTTTTCTTCCCCTCGGAAAGGAAAACCGTATGCTGTGTCGTCGTGCTGGCGACGAGTCGACGACGCCACAGAGCAAGAGGAGGGGAATTTCGGGCTCCGCATTAACGTCCTCCGGCGGAGGTGGGATCTAGCTGGCACTCATCTCCACGATTATCACCACCGGCATTCCGCCCCTCCCTTCCGGTCGCAGCAGGTATTCCTGCCCACCTCCTCTCGCTGAACGGACGGAGATACGGTTCGGTCTCGTCCCGCCGTGGCAGGATCACAGCCAGCGAGGGAAGACGGACGGCCGCCGAATGGGCCCAACCGGGATAATTCGGCAGGGGGCCGCACCTCACTCGTTAATCGTTACTCCGTCCGCCTCAGTCGGAATCTCCCCCACATGGACCACCGAGGGCGCCACCACTTCTCGCTCCTGTCTTGGAGTTTTGTTAAACGAACTGTTCGTTGGCCCTGCTTTCCCTCTTACCGATTCTTTCATCTTTCAGGTCTGCTGCAACCAACAGAGACTGACCGACTCGGGCAGACTCAGGCCACGCCGGGCCACGACAACGACGAGACGAATCGAGCCACAACAAACCCGAGCCTTCGTCACGCCCTCGACAGGTCTGGCGACTCTGGTCACTGGTCACTAAGGTCAGCACATGCGACGGCGCGGAAGATTACAAAGTCTTCCGTCACGCTCGGTCACTCTCGCAGTCACTGGCTTGCCCTTCCATGGTCGGCAGTCCAGGGCAGGCGAGTGCGATTGCAGGGCCGGGCGGGGGGAGCGTGTTGCACGAAATCCGAAGAGTGCGATGGTGTACACATTAACTCATTCCTCCCCCAGCCTCTTGACGTCGGTAGGCCTCGCGCCTGCCGATACACTGCTGCAGCTGAAGGTATTTTCGGAACTCGATCGGATTAATTTAGCTCCAACGTTAACGTGGATTGAGTACCGAGGATGATGTCTTCCAACGATACTATATATCGTTTTTATTAGTATAGAATACGAAGTAGCGCACTCATTTCAACCACTTTAATACTATCGCAGGACTACCAAGTCAGTGTACTGGTGAAAAACGTATCACGTAAGGAAATACTGTTATCATCGTCGAGAACAATCACGAAAGTTCACGCGAGGGAAAAAAATTGCACATTGTCGTATGCACTGAAGAGAAAGATAATATTATGCTGGCCATTGAGTATTTTTCTGAGTCTCCGATACGCAGTGCGCACCGCAATGTTCTATACCAATAGAGATACTTCGGTAGTTCCCTGGTAAGGTTCGTGTACCGCCGTGGTAGCACGACAAGGCGAAATGTACTATGAAACCAACTCGCTCCCTCACTCATTCATCGGAACCTAGAAATACTTTACGCTACAGTAGTGGTACCCAGAACGGACCGCACGCTCGATGTACCCTATCGACGATCTACAGCTGTTCTTACACGTATGATCTCTATCGAAAGGCCGACCTAGAACCACCTGTGTAACTAACTCGACTCCAGCCCCGGTTCCACTACTTCGAGTTAACCAACACCGATCGACGGATCGAGAGGAGTTTTGAGGCATCCGACCTTTCGATGGACGTTGCACGTGTGGTGAACCACTCCGAGTCGTCGATTCTGTATATTATCGACCCTTTCGATGCCGATGTAGCGCAGAGTGTACCATGTGTGAAACAGGCACGAGCAAGCGGGAGGACGGAGCGAGTGAGGCAGGGAAAATCCCAACGAGAAGAAGGACAAAACCTTAACCTAACTGTACCTAAACGTACACCTACCTCGACTAGAGTAGAGTTCAGTACTGTAGTGCAGAGTAGGCTCTGGAACTGTAACGTAGTAGCTGGGAGCAGAGGAGGGAGATGTGAGAGGACAGGACGGGAGTCGGGACGGGATGGGCCGACGGTGGCGACCGGTAAGCAGCAGTAGAACAGGTTGTAGTGGTTTCGACCCTTGACTCTAGTCCAGCGTGTATGCTTGCCTTGCCGTCCAAGGTACCCTACCGTAGGTCGCGCGCCTGGATAAGGCAAGAGCTGGCCGGCAGCGAGGGAGACGAAGGAGGAGGATGAGGCAGTCAGGCAGGCAGGGAATCATGGGTACACACATATGCTGTACCCTACAGGCCTTTAATTTCGCTCTTAGATTACATTACATTATTACTTGAACGAATTGCATAAAGAACAGAAAGTAAAGTGTGTTTGCACAGAATTGCGCCTGTTGGCCTCAGCTCGCTGGCTCGCGTGGTGAATATAAGGATGGATGAACGCATGCATGCATTGGATGGGCTCCTGTGAATATTATAACCCAGACTTTGTCGTCCTTGGGTATTCGCGAACCTAAATCCATCGATGGATGTGAGAAAGCGAGTGAATGATGCCAACATTGACCGATCATTTGGTACTATTGTTCATTTGTTAGCCAACAACAAAAGAAATTTTGAAACGTTGAGGAGGGAGTGGGACGAGGAAAACATGAATGATCGCTGGACCACTTCACATGGAACCCCGTGCTTCGAGCCCAACTGAAAAGATAAGGGAGGGAGAGGCGAGGCGGGGGAGCGAGCGAGTGAGTGGGGGGAATGCGGTATGATTAAACTTGAAGAACGAACGAACGTCGTCATGAAGTTGGGTCCATGAGTTCTACGCGTCCAAAGCCAGAGATTAAACTACCTTAAAATATGCGGATGCGAATGATTATGCGAGGGCTCTAATCTTAAGAAAAACACATTAATAAGTGCTCATGTGAAAAAGCGCGTCTTCATTCTTCCTCCCCTCTTCCTTTCTCATAAACTGATCTTGATTCCGTCGTACCAGCAGGCCCATTTCCATCCTTTCTTTAATCCACGGCTGATGCGTCTGGATGGATGCTAACCAAGAATGGGGACCTCGTCATGTAGCCCGCGAATAGGCTAATGTACTTTCTTACTTGTGCCTAATTCCCTCCCCGCGTTTCCCTTTCTTAGACATGAGTTTCGGGTGCCCTGTGCTTCGTCCGCATAAATATGCTCTTCTTGACCATACAGTTGTTGAACTTGGACCTTTGCAAAAAGCGATCCCCCTCGCTTCGTCGCGGTAGACTCTAGCTGCATCTACACAGCAGTAGGAGGCATAAGAAATGGCTCTGTGTCCTTTGGGGGCTGGTTTCTTCTATTCGCCTTTTTTTGGTTTTTCTCCTTTGTACGGTTTGATGGACCTCCCCCTCGTTGGGGAAGGCTTTTACACAACAACTTGCGTTGCCCAGAAAATCTGAAAAAATCTATATCATGTAGTGGTCGTCACTTTCTATCTTCGTATTGGAGTCCTCCCGCTTGTTGCGTCCCTTGATAAAGCAAGTCAATCGTCACGGCTTCGATTCGAGATACATCCTGATGCTTCTCCCATACAACAAGTCTTGTGAACGAAAACGAAAAGCCGAGTCCAACATGGTCACTGGCTGCGTCGAGCCCCTCTAACCCTAATCAAAGTCCAAGCGTTTCGCGGTGGTTGTGTACTCACCTAAAACTCTACCGTCGTTCCCATCAATGCATAACGGACAGTTACCTCAACGGTACACGTATGTCGATTTATACTTCGTTGCGGAAGCTAAGATGGTGAACCGGACCTGGATGTAGGCGGAGTACAGTACACTACTCCATGGATTTGTTGGTACGGTGGAGTCTACTGTGATCATATCCCTAAGATACTACGTGGTTTGATCACCAGGTCTCATAATTTGCAATGGACAGTTTTCCTCAACCGGAATGTCGTGTCCTACATGGTTTGTGGCGACCGAGTTGAAACCAGCGCGTCATCAATGTGTTTCTTAGTAGTGCAAGACTGCAGTCTCCTACGACACCACCCTGGTTCGATCCTGGGGCTCCATTAATGCACGGTGGACAAGTTTCAGCGACGGAATGAAAAGAAAGTCGTTCGTGCCTCGGAAGAAATTTCGAATTTCACTTGAGGGAATTGTAGCTCCTGAGTTAAAGTGCACGATAAAGTATTAAACTCCAGGTCATGTACAGTATCTTAGTACGTCACACGTCATCCAGCTACTACTGCAGTAGACTGAATAGCTACGGGATGTCTTTCGACACCACGAATTCAAGGACCCCATGTCATCTGCTGCCCTAGGTTTCCGTGTTTTCGTACTTGGACTTTATGAAAGTCACTGAGCCGGATCCATCCATAATTATATTCTGAGGAATAATATGTATAAAGTACTGGAAATCGCCTTTCGTTCTCAGAGAATCAAAAACAAATTTCGAAGAAGTCCTCCTCAACAAGGCTTCATTAGCTTTGTACATTTGATTCTCCATCTATCTGTCGGATCCATGCCATGCACACTCACCACCAGCTCAAGAGCTGCATACTTTTAAGAGACTCATGAGTTGAAGGGCATGGAAAGCAGTCTCCTCCAGAATGCTGTTCAGCAAACTTGTCCGCTGCTACGACTCCTATGGCTCTGATTGAGTAGACAAGAGCTCTAGACCGATCAGTGATGGGCCACAGAGCAGAGAATAGGAATTACGGATAGAGATTGCATGGGAGATGTGGGAGGAAAGTGAGTCGTGGAGCCTTTTTTTTACCGGGTTCTGGTGTTCGCCGAAGTTGTCTAATTAGAAGTTTGGGATGTACTTCCCTACGGTAGTTTCAAGCGACGCTCGCTGATAGGATCCGTGCAATGCTTGGGTCTCGTCAAATGATCAGGTTCTACCAGATTGGGATGATGGCTACCTCCTTAGACTTAGAGCTTAGACTAGGGCATTCCTCTACATGCAGGTCTCAGATGTTTTCCAATCTTTATATTTGAAACCTCACAATGAGTGGGTAACACTGCACGATTATTCTTACGGTTTCCCTGTATTTTCTATCCATACAATTGTGAGAATCTACTGCATCTATATGAGAAATATTTAAATTATTTGTTAATAATTTTTGAATACTTTGTATTATTAGTTTGCACCATATGCCTGTTTTAGTTTATGTCTAAAAATTAGGGGCAATCACTATCTTCAAGACCCACACGAAAATTGACTTGAAACCATCTGAGTAATCATTGCGGAATCATAAATATGTATGTCAAGCTTTCTATAGAGAACTGTTGCAAACCGGAGGGAGTTCATACGGGTAATCAGTCCAATAATGGAAATACTTTCTCTCTAAATTTGACCACCTTCACCAGGTCTTATATGCAGTCAAATGAATGTCCAAACAGTTACTTGACTTGACATTGAAATTGCCCATCCCGATGTAACTCCATCAATGATGTACAGTAAGACCAGGTCAGAAGGAAGAAGGTTGACATGAAACAGACTGGTTCAGCTCATCACTGATTATCAACATCAATCTTAATGTTATTAAATACAAGATATATCTCAAGATTTCACTACGTATAAATGGTTACAGCAAATTTGTTCGTGATTAGAATTTTTTCTTGTTCAAATAGATCGATATTAACATTTAAAGTGAAATTTTAAATTTATATCATATATATTCTGCTGAAGAAATTGTTTCTAGTAGAAATAAAAAATAAATATATGATTAATGAGAAATTTAATATTTTATATTTTATTTATTTATTTATTTATTTTAAATTAAATATATATACATACATCTATACATATTCTGAGTTGCGCAATATATTTTCTATTTAAAAAATATCTGAAAATCAATTTTTCAAATCAGAATATGAAAATTTCTTCAAAGCATTTTTGAAGCAAAATTTTTTATCAGACTTTTTTCATCCTGCTTACATTAACGGTAATTGTTGTAATGTTTACTATTTTACATGAATCATAACACATAATTTTTAAATGACATATTGGAATGCTTCTGAAATTTTGACAATGTTTTTAAAATTTTTATTTTTTATCTATTTGCTATTATGTGTGTAGGATGATAACAAAAGCATCATCACGTTGATTTTAAAAAAAGGATTAACACAATCAAACAGGTTTTTTTCAAATTTTGAATATTACATGTTGAAATGACATAAAAAACATTAAATCTAATGTAATCAATAAAGATTTGTATGTTAATGACTTAAAAAAGTTTTTTTAGTTATTCAAGTCAGATCTTGGTTGTATTTAGTTTGTTGCATCATAATTAGTTAAATCTCTCCTTTAATAATTATGCTTGCATATGATTGTTTACAATTTAATTTCTGATTTTGACAAATGATCTCTTTGTTTTTTGAACTTAGCCTGCTAAGTCTAACCATGTAAATTTGATGTTAAGTCATTGAATAACATTAATAGACAGTGAGATGTGGAAAGATACTCGTTGAAGAACACGAAAAATTGAAAATATTTCCACAGAGTTTAATTAATAAAATTGAGATTTATTGAAATTTTTAATACAATGAAAATTATATTTTTAAATTTTGTAACAAGTTCAGTTGACAATACAAATATACTATTCATTCTTTACTTTGATTTACAATATTGACTTGTTTGAGTTATTTTTGGGCGAATTGGAATTTCAATTTAAAACAAGGGAAAAAATGCAAGATTGAAATTGATACTCACAATAAATTATTCAAATTTGTATGTAAAAGGAGCATTTAAACTATTTAAGGAGTATTATTTTTCAAAATTGATACACAAATATTTTTTTCACTCAATATCTATATAATATCTAATTTTTAACTATTTTCATTAATTTTAGATGCATACTATGAGTTTAAAGTTAGTATAAAATCAATCAATAAATACGATAATGATTAGGAATCTTTTAACTTAATTTGTATACAAACCTATGTGAGAATCTTAATTATTTGAAGTGAAAGTTTGAATTTTTTTACAATTTTTTTAATAAATGAATAGTTTGTGATATGATGAATGAATACAAAATATTAGCACAAAATAGATATAAAATTTTTTAGAAATGAAAAAATTCATTGTCATATTTAACTATGCTAAATTAGTTGTGAACATCCTTATTACAAATTATCTCAAACTTTGTGTGACATAGTTTAGAATTAGATGTAGTCATATATATTTGATTAAAAAACATGAAAATCATACTCATTCAACAAATCATCTTCACAAATTAAATAACATATATGATGCAACATTTGAAATAAATCTAGAAAAAGAACATATTTTTTTGATGAAAAACACGATGATTAAATTGTAAATTACTTGAATTCAAATTTACATTTTAGATTTGCAACATATAAAA